GAGAGCGGCGTCCCTGCCGTGGCTGGTGCTCAATGAACCACCCCTTGTGTTTGGACCTCAGCTGCTCCAAAAGGGGCCGACTGGGGCAGAGGGTGAGGCTGTTGCCAGGAGGCAGGGCAGGCAGAGAAGCTTGTTCCTCAAATGATGAAATCTCTTACTCACCAGACAAGATTGTGGTTGGGGAGATGGGAACACCAGTTTCCTCTGTCCCCTGTGCTGGCTGCGGCCCATCCTGAGCCCTGCCGGCCAGGGAGGGAGGGAGGGAACCCTTCAGGGCTGAGCTGGGGCTGGTGAGGGTGGAGGGAAGGAGCTCTTGGGCTCCCTGCTTTGCCTACCCTTTGATCTCATGGAAATGCCACCAGCAGGGGCTGCCCAGGCTGCCACCCACCCGGGAAGGAGGGGAAGCTGCTGGTGTGAGCTGCTCGGAGCCCTCCCCTTGGCCTGAGAAGTCTCTTTTTGTTTCCACTGATCATAATAACAGCTTTTGCACAGGTTCCCTGGGGCTTCCTACCAAGGTGTGTGTGCTGGGCCTGCTGGGAGGGGACCCAGCTCCCCAGCTGCTGCTGCCCCTGCCATCACTGGCTGTCCCAAACCAAGGTGTGTGCACAGAGGTTTACAAATTTTCTAAAGCTTTTGATAATGTGAAGCTCCTGGGTGATGAGGTTGGTGGTTGAGCACACTGCAGCTATGTAATATTATTTTTTTTTGGTGTATGTATGTAATATTTAAGGGTAACAAAATTGAAAAAGGCTAAAACCTTAAAAAACAAAAAATATTAAAAACACACAAAAAAAAGCCAAAGCATGATGCATATTGTTAGCCTTAAAACTGGCTACACGACTGTGTGATGTACAAATGAGAGCAGCCTGTAACTGTTTTAAGTGCTGGGGTTGGGGAAGAAGCATTACAAAATCAGTTGGTAGCCTTGATTCTGTACAGTATTTAATGAAGAAAAACAAACAAACAGACCTGACTATTGAGGCCATGCTTAGAGGTGTGTTGTTCCCGTGCAGATGTGGATGCTTGGTTGCTTACAATATATGTATAAAGTGCTGTGTGACCATTAAAACCTTTTTTTACCTGCAGACCTTTTTTTTTTTTGTTTGTTTGTTTGGCTAACCAAGGTGTAATAAAGGAGGGAAGATGACTTGCCATTAAATTTTGCTTCTGTGAGTAGTTCAGGCTCTTTGTCTCCTTTTCTTTTCCCCTGGCCCTGCCATGCTTGGCTCTTGCCCTGTCTCCAGGGTTGCATCCCTGTGCCAGGGGTTGGATGGGATCCTGCTGGCTGGAGTTGAGGGCAGCAAGGCTGGAGGGAGCCTGGCAGTGAGGGGCTGCCCCCGTGGCTCCGGATCAAACCACCTCCCCAAATCCCTGATTCACAGAACGTCTGTCAAGCTGCTTTATGTTTTTTCTCCTTTCCATGCTCTTTGCTGGCGTCTGCTCCGTGTTGTGGCTGCGCAGCGTCTGGCCCTGCAGGGCTGGGGGCTCCACTGGATGCAAACAGGGACAAAACCAGGACAAAGCAAAGCTCCTGTGTGGACTTGGGAGTGGGGACAGCTCGTGGTCCCTGTGCTGCCTTCTCAGCCCCTTGCTCACAGGTAGGTGTGGGGTGAGATGCAAACACAGGCACGTGCAGGCTGCTGGGGCCAAGGGACCTCCTGGGTGCTGAACTCCTGCTGATGTTCACCCCGCAGCTGCCATCCCTGGCCCCACTCTTCCTACAAGGAGAGGCTTTGGAGGGTGGCAGTGCAGGCAGAGGAGGTGGGCAGCAATGTTTGTGGCTTTGCTGGAGTTGTTTTTAACCCGCATCTGGAGCTTGAGGCAGCTGTTGGGGTGTCACCTCCCTGGGTGTGAGGGGCTGCGTGGGAGGAGCTGTCGGGGGCTCCCCTGGAAGAGCACGTGGCTGGCAGGGTTTGGAAGGAGTTGGGTCAAGGAAGAGCTTTATGCAGCAAAACTTGGGAAAGGGAAGCAGGTCCCAACCAACCTGCTGTGAGCAATGCTACTGGGGGAGGCCCAGAAGAGACTCTAGGGAGCCTTTTAGGTGCTGCAAACCCCACTGAGCTCTGCTCCCATGAACTGTCTCGCTTGGCAAAGGCAGCCAAGAGCCCTGAGCACATCCCCTGCCATGGGCTCTTCCCCCATCCTCCTCCTCCACCACCATTCAACAGGGTTGGAGAGCCACAGAAGAATTGCTCAGCCTGTTTTCACACCTGGCTCCTCGCCACGGGGAAAATAACTTTATTTTGGGAGGTGGTTCCCAGCTGCTGCCTGCCTTGCTGGCCCGGGAACAGGAACTGGGCTCCCCATGAGCGAGCAGGGCCATGGGGGGAGGAACAATGGTGCTCTTCTTTCCCAGTTCTGCAATCCTAATTGCATAGTTTGCAGATGAATGAATGCAAACAGCCACCACTGTTTACTCTTCTACTTTGTACTTGAGCACTGTAAATGAGGTTTAATGACTGCCATTTTATTCCAAGCAGGCTGAGTAATCCCCCCCCCTCCCAGGCAAGCCCCCCAGAGCAGGGATCTGTTGCCAGGCTCCAGCTGGCCTTGGACTGTCCTAGAAAGGGGATGTGTGAGCTCCCCACAGGGCCCCACTCACGGCAGAAAGCCAAACCCCTCTGCTCCAGTCATCCCCTCTGTCAATCTCTTCCATGGCCCCTTCCCTGCTCTTGCTCAGAGACACTCATCTCAACCAAGAGGTCTCCAAGCATGGCTGTGGGGCTGAGCTGCCCACATTCCATCCAGGCTGAGCAAGGAGGCACCAACATTCCCCAAAAGCAGGGTTGGTGGCAGCAACGCCCCATGTCCTGCCTCTAAAGCATCTCCCCTGATCTTCGTTGCTCCGTGCATCCGGAGGTGATGGTGGTCCGGCAGGGAGGGGTCATGGTGCTGAGCTAAATCCATCCTGACACCCGTGTGTCTGGGCTGCTTGTGAGCCCAGCTCAGGTGACAGGAGTCTGATGTGGGTGACAGGACCCCTGCCCTGCCAGGAGTCCAACGTGGGTCACAGGACCCCTGCCCTGCCAGGAGCCCAACGTGGGTGACAGGACCCCAGCCCTGCCAGGAGCCCAACGTGGGTGACAGGACCCCAGCCCTGCCAGGAGCCCAACGTGGGTGACAGGACCCCAGCCCTGCCAGGAGCCCAACGTGGGTGACAGGACCCCAGCCCTGCCAGGAGCCCAACGTGGGTGACAGGACCCCAGCCCTGCCAGGAGCCCAACGTGGGTGACAGGACCCCTGCCCTGCCAGGAGCCATGAGCTCAGATTTAAAACCCAAGGCAGATGATATTTTTCTTTTTTTTTTTCTTTTTCTTTTTTTTGCAAACACTAGCCCGTTACTGCTCACAAGAATAAACTCTGCTTCTACACAGGAAGCTTTAGGTAGAAACATTCTTTAAAAAGTCGGTTTCTTCTGTTTGATATATTGGTCCTGACCATCCCCGGGGGAGGGTTGGGGGTGACACTGGCTCCTCAGCAGGGACCAAAGTGATGCCACCGTGTGTGTCCGGGGAGGGGGCTGTGCCGGCGCAGCCACCTGGGGCTGGGACCTCGTACCGGGATAAACCCTGTGGCATGGCCGGCACAGAGCACCTGCCGGGGCTCGCGGCTTGGCTTTGGGACAGCGCCGGGTGGCCGTCCCGAGGGAGTAAAGCTAAGCATGGGGTTGGGGAACCGAGGGGACGAGCCCCCGGGAGCTATTGCTATGGGAGGAAGGGAAGGGTCCTGAG